ACGTGGTCAGTCTGAGTGGAAACTAGATGCCCTTTTAAATTTAGAACACACAAGGGACCTCTGTGATACCAAATGCATAATACATAACTTTTTTGAAAGTTTGATCTCTGTATAACTTGCAGAGAAAATGCATCGTCTGCATGACTTCCTGGGCCCCACGAAACAGACTTAAACAGCATACTCTTTCAATTAATCCTCCAGAAAGCTGTTTCCTGGTGCATGTTTATATCCCCTCTATTTGGATGGTAACAACATAATCAAGTGTCTCATCTTGTTTCCATGTGATGAGTGATTTTTTTTCTGGCAATGGAACAATGTAATTGGACTGAAATATCTGTTTGGAGGAAAAATAGCAGATCTGTTCATAGGAAACCTTTGAAAGCCTATTAATCACTTTATGTCCTCAGGATATGGAGACTGGACTATTCAGTGTTACTAAAGTGGACCACACAAATTTTGGCTTATTTTGTCTGTGACTTTCCCATTAAAAAAAAAACAAAAAAAACAAACAAATGAAAAAACCTTGTGGATTTCAGTGATTGTCTCACCCCACAGCCTATTGTTATGGGCTCCCAAAGTGCCTGACTAGTAAATAAAGGAGTTTCTCATGCGAAGTCATTGATTATTTCCAAGACACCCTATAAATGACTGTTAGAAATAAGCGTTGTTTTAGTATGAGGTCAAAAGTGTAACTGACCATTTCTGCACAGATCTCTGTATATCAATTCATGCCACAGATTGAAGTGTAACTGACAGAGTATTATTAAATGAACCCCAGCGATATGGCACTAACTGATCTTGAAAAGGTAAACTTTAAACTTTGTAAACTTTGCAGATGGGGATTCAGAGCCAGCAGTCTAACTATAATGGCTGTCTGGCAATGATGTCAACCATCTGCTTCCCTCTTAGAGAAACTTTTCCCTCCAAAAAGGTTTCATGCTGCACATTAAAAAGGATGTTTGTGGTACACAACTTGAAAGTAGGGGGTAGGGGGGATAAAAATATGCAGATGGTAACACTTTATTTTAAGGAACAATTCCCACTATTAACTAGTTGCTTATTAGCATGCACATTATTACAAACTAGCACTTATAAAGCACATATTAACACCTACCTTACTAACTATTAATAAGCAGCAAATGATGAGTTTGTTCAGGGAAAACTCTTAGTTATTAGTGAATATGTGTTATTCTAAAGTGTTACCATTGTTTTCTTGTGCTCTCTTCACTCTTCACTATAACTCTTCATATTCTTGTGAAATAACTGAATTTCTCAGCACATATGAAGTGTCATTAAAGAACACATTCAGCACAGTTGTCATTTTCATTTGATTTCTAAAGATAAAAGAGTAATGCAATGTATCAGCTGTACTGTGAATGAGATGCTTTATGTGTGTGGTACTCTCTGAAATAGGTTTTAAACTAGTTGAGACATTAAAGAGCTGTTCAGTGCTTTTGCATCTTTTATAGGCTAATCATGCTCCATCATCATTGCCCACTTTACTAATTGATCCACTGATTCACTTCTACACTGTAAACTGCATTATATGAATGAGGGGGAAAAAATGGACCATGATATTTGTTGCCTGTCAAGTCAGGTCTCCATAGCAGAAGATAAAGGGTTTTGTCTAAACAGATAAATACATGTGATGTGCCAGGTGTTTCTTACCATCTATGCCAAAAACACTCTGGGACTTGTCTCAGATTTAGTCAGGTTCAGAGCTAAGAGACTGTGGAATGTGGAAAATGAATATGTCATGACACATCATGAATAGATCAGATAAGGCTGTATGGGTCATTGCTGTTGTGCAGTACTTTTTCATATGTTCATATTATATTGTTTCAAACTCACAATTATTAAATATGGAAATCAAGTCAGATTTATTTAAATACAATATGGTTTGAGATCACAAAATGTATGTATATATATATATATATATATATATATATATATATAGAAACGAATACTCCATACTCTGGAGCGCAGTGTAGCCCACACGCTCAAAATGACGACCGCCATTACAGGAAGGGCAGCAGAGGGCGGCAGGACCTCTAGGACGGTTGGGCTTGAGAGCACTGATGTTATAGGGATTCCCGCAGCTCGCACCGACATAAGAGGTGGGTCCATCACACTAGCAATCAGACTTTTCAGTCCAAACCCAAGCTCCGCGTCCGAATCAGGCGTGGCGGCCATCTTGGCCGGGGACTCAGGTGTGGCGGCCATCTTGGCCGGGGACTCAGGCGTGGCGGCCAACTTGGCCGGGGACTCAGGCGTGGCATGAGCAGACTCTGAATGTCCTTTAACGCCACATCATTACAGTTCACTAAATAGCACAAACCACAAAAGTCCTCCACGTAGTCCTCTATGGTCCGACTTCCCTGACGAAGGCTCAGAAGGCGAACAACTGCTGGGTTCATTTTTTAGCGGTCGTGTATTCTGTAACGAATCATCCACTGAAGGCGAGCGTAGTGAAGAACCCGAACAGACTTGACGAGGCATGAACAGACTTGACAAGGCATGAACAGACTTGACTCACCAACAGCGGGTCACAACATCAATACTCGACGAGGGCACAATGGTAACATGAAGGCTACTTATAGCAGACAAGAGGGTCACAAGACAAGAACAAACCAATGGGAAACAAGACACATGACTATGATTGTCTTCTGGACAACTGTCAGATCAGCAGTCTTCCCCATGATTGTGTAGCCTAGTGAACCAAACTGATAGACCATTTTGAAGGCTCAGGAAACCTTTGCAGGTGTTCTGAGTTGATTAGCTGATTGGCATGTCACCATATTCTAATTTGTTGAGATAGTGAATTGGTGGGTTTTTGTTAAATGTGAGCCAAAATCATCACAATTAAAAGAACCAAAGACTTAAACTACTTCAGTCTGTGTGCATTGAATTTATTTAATACATGAGTTTCACAATTTGAGTTGAATTACTGAAATAAATGTACTTTTCCACGACATTCTAATTTATTGAGATGCACCTGTATATATATATATGTGTGTGTGTGTGTGTGTGTATGTGTGTATATATGTATATAAATAATGCATTTAGCAGATGCTTTTATCCAAAGCAACTTACAGTGCATTCAGGGTACACATTTTTTACCAGTATGTGTGTTCCCTGGGAAGTGAACCCACAACCTTTTGTGCTGCTAACGCAATGCTCTACCACCGAGCCACAGGAACAGTGTTTGAAAATATTATAAACAAAATTCCTACAATTTGCTGTTTTTAATGAACAAGACGAAACATTCTTTTAGATAGGCTACCTGGTGTTCATAAACAATTAGTCTATTTAGACTTACAATGGAGTTTGTGGAGAAATGGGTCACTAACCCACTAAAGACATAAGAAAACTATGCAAAATATCAGCATTAAGAATGGTCCATTGTTCATGTTCTGTTCTTAGAATGCAGATGACCCGTTAGAGATAAGAGTGTGTCCTGATGTTTACACGCCGCCCTCTAGTGCTGGAGACTGAGATTCAATAAAACAACTATTGCCATTGAGGTTGCGACACCCACAAATATACTACATAATACATATTCTGACCTGTAATGCACTTTTTAATTGTTTTAATAATAATAATAATAATAATAATTAGGGCTGCACAATTAATCGAATTTCTGATCGCAATTACAATTATGGATGCCACAATTACGTAATCGTTCAAAGCGGCAGTTAATTATTCAAAGTCCACTTATGTTATTCTGCACGCTTAAGATATGTTTTTTTCCTTCTACATATTATCTTGAGGGTTTTTCCATTGTTCCTATAACATTATAATACCATTCATATTTTTACTTTTTTTATAATTTAAAGAAGAAACCAATCCGATATATATTTGGCATTTGAGGTTTAATACTATAGAAAAGCACTAAAGGTTTTTCAGTTAGAGTGTTTTCAGCTTGTTTATTTTCATATAAAAATACGGCATGCAGTTGCATCAAACAATGGTATAAACATCATTCAATGTAAATTGTGATAATCGTAATTAATAAACGGCATGCAGTTGCATCAAACAATGGTATAAACATCATTCAATGTAAATTGTGACAATCGTAATTAATAATCGCAATTACAATTTCAAGGGAATAATCGACAATTATGATTTTTATCATAATCGTGCAGCCCTAATAATAATAAAACGCTTCAATTTTGCGCTGATTGCGTATGTGACCTCAGCGGAGTTGACCGTACATAGGTTTGTGAATCGTAACAGTAATCAGCGTACAACTATCACTGCGTACGCCGGTTGCGTAACTACGTGGATGAACGTCAACATGGCTGAATCCATGCGAGCAGCTGCTGAAGAGTTGATGTGGCACTGAAGAGCACCGGTGGCAGTGAACTTGAGCTTAATAAATCACATTTTTTGTAGATTAAGGTATGTAAAATTACATTTACACATTACTGCATTACATCATTACTTTGCATAAATTGCATTAGAAATCTCATGCTGGGCCATTTAATCTTCCTTCTTGCATCAGCTAACGTGTCTCTGAGGAAAGTTTGCAGTGAAAATAAGTGTTTTTCTCTAATGTCTGTTAGTATTGATTGTTTATTCATTATTATTTATTGTGGTGCTGGTAAGTGGTGGTTTCTTGAACCCCGTTTTTTTTTTTTTTTAGAATTGTTAAATATTATTACGCACAGCATGCATTTAGGTCTTGTACAATATAAAGATTCCCCACTCATTATTAAATGTTTTCACGTAATAAAAGCATCCATCCCTGGTAACTATTTTCTCTTGTACGTTTAGCTCAGTGATGCACTTGACTTGTTGAATTGAATGTAGGTCAGTTGGGTGCAGATCAAGCTTTTGTTTATATTTACATTACGTTAAATAAACTATCATCATATGATCTCACATAATATCTCACATACTTTATTATTGTGGGGAACTTGCCTGAAAGATCTAATTAAATTGATTAGATCAAGTGTGTTTTGATTTATATTTCAGTTGTACAGATCAGGTCACCATGTATCTCCAGAAGATGTTCTCCTGTTCTCAGTTTTTAGCGAGAACAAATGCTATGCAAACATTCATAAGAGCTGCTTCACAAGGCAAAAGTAAGTATTTCTGTATTTCTGTACCTTGTATCACATACCTCTTGCAAGAAAGAAAAATATGTAGGGTACTATAAAGAAAAGTTTATGGATTGCAAAACTGATCAATATCAGAACGGATATTAAGTATATTAGTATATCCTTGTTTCTTATTTATTAAAATCAGTCAGAGACAGAGCTTTAAATCTAGAGATACAATTAGTTGTTTCCATTCATAACCCTTGCTCTTAATTTACAGCTTGTCTGTCTCTCTCATTCACTGGGTCGGTGCTCTTCTTTGAGTTCTGTCCTGTCAGCGTTTGGCTGTGCTGTCTGGCTTTGCTGATGTGGCATCTTTTACTGTGTTATTTTCTTTCATAAAGAATGTGGCGGGGGTTTGGTGAGCGCTGAACTTTATGTGCTCACATCTTTGTGAATGGCTTGTGATTTCTGTTCATTTCATTTGATTGCTTTTACAGATCACTTTTATGATTGCCCTGCCATTTGTTATTGATGAATTTTGTATAAAGACCAATCAAATTTTACATGTAAAATAGTCAATATTGATTTCATGTTTTCTTTAAGTCAGTTGGTTTGAATTTTCTAGAATCCCATAGGGACCAGCACTTAATTTGTTCACATTTATGCATTACTCACTCAGATGTAGAGGTGAGTTTTCACATTTACTGTTTTTACTCAAAATATTAAAAGTTACTGGCCAATATTACTCGTTTAAAACATTTAATAACACTCTAAATGTTATCTTTTTAATTTCAAAATAAAGGCAAATTTTTTTGTTCATATTATTATCTGCCATAACATGAAAATTATTATCAGCTTATTGCTATTTGCCAGAAATTTCATATATATTTCACTATACACATCTGTAATGTTTTTTTATAAACTATAATAATATTTTCAGTTAATATATTTATAGAACTCTTAAAACTTAAGATGATATTTTTAATTACAAAGTAAATAGTTATAATGCACTTCATTGGAAGTTGTTTGGATCATGCAAGTTGGACTGTAATATTATTTGCCAAATGTGGCTTTGGTTACATCAGTTGAAAAGAAGCACAGAAAGTTATTCCATTTTAGATTATAGATTATAACAAATTTGCATTGATTCATTTTGTGGGGAATAGCATAGTGTTGATTTATTTACAATTACATTTACATTTTTGCATTTAGCAGACACTTTCAAAGAGACTTAGAAGAGAAGAACATAAGCAAATTGTCACAGAGCTAATTATATTCATAGTATACAATGCCATTTGTTACAACATGCACCTCATACTTGCTATTTTCTCTGCTTGTCTTTTACCATTTCCCCTCATATCCATTCTCTCCTCATTATTCTAATGTCTATTGGTGATACAGTGCACGCTAACGCAGTCCATTTATCCATCACTCACTGGCTTTCCTGCATGGCATGGCTCCTCATTGGGTGCTTTTCCGGCTATCTCTCCATGCAGATCCCTCTTCCTCCCCATTTCTCACACTCCATGCTGTGCGTCAGTGGAGTAACGTGCCTTTTTTTACAGTGCCGCTGGCACGGGCGCACGGTAAGTCATTTGCCCACCGAAGTGAGCTGCGCCAGGCCAAGAGAATCGTCGTCAAGTTGGGGAGTGCTGTTGTAACCCGTGGTGACGAGTGCGGCCTCGCTTTGGGCCGACTCGCTTCAATTGTAGAACAGGTAAAGATGATCGAAGCTTAAGGATTTTCACATAAATATAATGTTGTACTAACAAATCGTGATGCTGAATAAAATTATTGTTGCAGATTATAGGAATTTTGTTTATAATATTTAATTGATGTCACATTATAACTCTTTATTTATGCAATTTGATTGTTTAAGGTGGCCGTGCTTCAGAATCAGGGTAGAGAGATGATGATCGTGACCAGTGGTGCTGTAGCATTTGGAAAACAAAGGCTGAGGCATGAAATACTTCTCTCACAGAGTGTCAGACAAGCCCTGCACTCAGGCCAGAATCAGCTCAAAGATATGGTGAGGACATATAAATTTGATAACATTTTTGGTTAAAAATAAAATTGGATTTAACAGAAGTACAATGTTACATCAATAGGGATAGTTCATCCAAAAATGAAAATTCTCACATCAATTACTCACCCTCATGTCTTTTGAAATCCATAAGATGTTCATTCATCTTTGAAACACATATTTTTTTCCTGAGATAATTTTAGTGAAATGGGAGAGATTTCTGTCTCTTCGTTAAAAGTTAATTCACCCAAAGCTGCAAAAGGTTTATTAACCCTTTACAGCCTGACATATGAAATAAGTCAGAAAATATATACATTGTTAAAAATGGAACAGTTTACCATTATCTTTAGAACGGTATAACAGACTACTTACATAAAATGCATAGAAATATAATTTGTCACTCTATATCTCCCAATAATATGTATTATAAAGATGATATTTAAATGCGTAGTTTTATGATAAAAGCTATAGTTATAATTTGAGGGGTGTAAAACAATGGTGTGCAATGATATACAAATAAACATTCCTAAAAGCCGGATGTATCATATTTGAGACTCACATTTTAACATGATTTTTCTAAATATGATGTATACATAATCAAGTAAACCTAAGTTGCTTCTGTCCAGTAAGTGTTCATCTTCATAAAAGATATTCTTACATTACTTTATAAATTAATATTAAACAGCACAAACACACATGTACCACAACCTGAAGGCAGAGTTTTATAATTATACCAAAAGGCCTTATTACTTGCTAAAAGAAGGCTAAACTATCAGATTACAGAAGGGATGTAGTAGATTGTGTACAACAGGTTTTTAAGCAAAGTTTTAATCATGTTGATAAATTAGAGGCCTTAGAAATTTGGGTATCAAATATGATACAGAAGGCATCATAGGGTTAAGAGATCACAAAAGAAATGCATATAAATCAAGCTGTTTAATCCAAGTCTTCTGAAGAGACGCAATCTCTTTTTATTCACATCTAAACATTGATCAAAGCACACACATAGAGCACATCAAATATGGTAAAGATAAGCTCAACCGTACTTGATTGGCTTGTGGAAACAAACCTCATTGGTTTTTCTTGTGTGTCAAGCAAGCATGTTTTACCTGAATAAACTAACCTTTTTACTTTAAAAAGTTGGAGGCTGAAGTTGGATGTGTTTCCTTTGTCAGTCACTGCCAGTTCTAGAGGCGAGAGCATGTGCCGCTGCGGGACAAAGTGGACTTATGGCTCTGTATGAGGCAATGTTCACTCAATACAGCACTTGTACTGCCCAGGTACATACAGACACTAACATATGCATGGTGAAGCTACAAAATACACTCTTATTCATATTTTCTTTTTTTTTTTTTTCTTTTTTGTTTGTTGCTTCAGATCCTGGTAACAAACCTGGACTTCCACGACGACCAGAAAAGACGGAACCTGAACAGCACTCTGCATGAGCTGCTGCGTATGAACATCGTGCCCATCATCAACACCAATGACGCTGTGGTGCCTCCCCCAGAACCCAACAGCAACCTACAGGGGGTAAATGTGGGTATTGGGAGAGAGCGAGTCTGCCCAGCTGCCTTGCCATCCATCCTCTTCCTTTTGGAACTGCATGCTGGGAGGGGCCTTTACAGATGCATGCTGGGAATCAGAGCAATGCAGAGGCTTAATCTTTGTCTTCTGCACTGTTGCAGCCTGGGGTTTTTTTTCATTCTTGTAGAAACTGGAAAGAAATTAACATTACCACATTCACAGTACTGTCACTTACTCTCTGGGCTCATCTACGCTTGCTCTGTCATGCACTGGCTATGGCTTTAAGTGTGGTTTCATGTGGAATTCTGCTTTTTCATAGACTAGACAGAGTTGTTGTTCATCATACTAATTTTAATGCCATAGTTTAGAGATAAATGTTCATGATGGGAACATGAAATATAGTGGTGATGTCTGTCTTTGTGGGTTTTAAAAAACAAGGGCCATTTTCTAGTTTGAGTCTCTTTCGAGACTCTTCTTTTCACACTTCTTTTCTCTTTTTCATACTTCAGGTTATCAGTATCAAGGATAACGATAGTCTTGCAGCGCGGCTTGCCGTGGAGATGAGGGCAGATCTTCTCATTGCTCTCTCTGATGTAGAAGGTGAGATTTCAGTTTGAATGTTAATCAGTGAATACATCAATACCATATCATATTTTACTGGCTGGTATTAGATGTTTTTTTTTATTTATCTGTATTGTATATTTACTTGTTCATACTATTTTTTTTTTTTTCAAACTGTAGCACTCACTTCAAGTATTTAGTAACACTTAGTGTTAAAAGTAATCTTTAGCAAGTCTCAAAATGATACTATACATTAAGATGTTGTGATGCATAAATGTTCTTGTCGCATTTAAAAATGTAAAAAGGATTTTAGTTTTTGGATATTTTATTTATTTACTTAATTTAATTATTTATATTTGTATTCTATGTTTAAACTTTTAAGAAATTGACATTTTTATTCAGCAAAGATGCATTAAATTGATCAAAAGTGAAGACATTTATTTATAATGTTACAAAAGATTTCTATTTCAAATAAATACAGAAAAAAATATATCATGGTTACGATTTCACAAACTATAATAACTACTTTTTATTGATTTTTAAAATATTAAAAACTATATTTTAACTGTACTATATAACACTTAAGGAAAAGGTTTAAAGACTTAAATTATCGTCACTCTTTTTAATGCAGTTAAATGCGGTCTGAAGCTTTCCAGAGTTAATAATGGCAGGCTTTTAATATTTGAGTGAAATTTTAAACTCGACCATTTTACTTGCCTTTTTTAATCACCCTCTCCAGGACTTTACGACAGCCCACCAGGGTCAGACGATGCCAAGCTCCTGGACACATTTTACCCTGGCGACCAGCATTCCATTACCTATGGTACAAAGTCCAGGGTCGGCATTGGAGGAATGGAAGCTAAGGTATGATTACAGAAAGGATATCTGTGACACACACAAAATATATATTTTGTTAGGATGAATAACTGAAACTGGCAGTATGTGTAATCACTAAACTTCAGGTTAAAGCTGCTCTCTGGGCTCTCCAAGGTGGGACGTCTGTTGTCATTGCTAACGGTACACACCCCAAAGTCACGGGTCATGTGATCACTGACATTGTTGAGGGAAAGAAAGTAGGAACCTTCTTCTCAGAGGTCAAGCCAGCTGGTGAGTTACCACACGTTCTACTGAATCAGTTTTTTTCTAATGTGATTCATTTATCTTTGTTTGTTGAGAGATCTCAGATGCCACTTTTCATCATTCACAGGTCCCACAGTCGAGCAGCAGACAGAAATGGCTCGCTCTGCTGGCAGGACCCTTGCTTCCCTTGAACCAGAGCAGGTTGGCTAAACTTTTGAACCACTATTTTAAATGACGGGCTGGAATCATATGTGCCTATTTTCCCCAGAAACTGTTGAATCATTAGATTAAAAAGGAATATCCTGGGTTATTTTCATCTTAACATCTATAGACAGCATCTGTGTCGTGTCATATTCTGTTTGTCCACAGAGAAGTGACATCATTTGCACATTGGCTGATCTCCTTACTGAGAGAAAAGATGAAATCTTATCTGCCAACAAAAAGGACATGGAGCATGCTGTTAGCACAGGTAACAGGAAGTGATTGCACATGCTCTCCAGACCATGTGCAATGTGATTCCCCCAAACACCCCCCCCCCCCCACTGGAGTGGTCTATCACAAAGAGTTGTTTTTTTTTGGTTCACTCAATTTCAATCTGTTATGTTACAGGTCGTCTGTCTCCAGCCATGCTGAAGCGACTCAGTTTGTCATCGTCTAAACTGAACAGTCTGTCCATCGGCTTGCGTCAGATCTCAGTGTCCTCTCAGGACAGCGTTGGCAGGGTTCTGCGCAGGACTCGTGTGGCAAACAAACTGGAGCTGGAGCAGATCACTGTCCCCATAGGAGTACTACTTGTCATCTTTGAGTCACGACCAGACTGCCTTCCTCAGGTCAGGTGCACAAAATGCATGCATATACATAAGTAGTGTAGTTTTTTTAATATTGTTTTAGTTTTCCTGTATGTGAGCATGTTTATGTTTGGACCAGTGGGTGGTGGTTAAACATCTGGGCTGTTAACAGAAAGGTTGTAGATTCAAACCCTTTAATTCGTCACCAGATTTGCCTAGTCTCCAGGTTGCTCAAGTGGGATTGGCCAACCAGTACGTGTAGTGTAATGTGAGTTGCTTCATACAAATATCTGCTAAATGTCTCATTTATTTTTATCAACCAACAGGTTTCTGCTTTAGCCATTGCCAGTGGAAATGCTCTTTTGTTGAAAGGTGGCAAAGAGGCGGCCAACACAAATCGCATCCTGCATGAACTCGCTCAGGAGGCTCTGTCTATCCATGGAGTCAAAGATGCCATCCAGCTGGTAAATGAAATGCTTTTGCACAGCAGGTTTTCACCTTTCATATATGGGCGATTCTACAGAATTGGTCCAAAGTCAGAGTTAAAAACGTTTGGAAAATGTATGTATGCAAATTTTATAATACCCAAGGTACACATTTCTAGTAATTGTGCAGTTAATTCTCATATTGTATTTTCAGAAAGTATTGGAATATTTGTCCTCTCCCCAAATTTGTCACTACCGAAACACAGTAATAATAATTTAATTAGAAGGGTTATATTGACCTAATAAGATTTTGCTTACATCTACATTGTAAATATATTTTTTTCTATTTTATAATTTTTATCAATATTTCAAGTGTAATTTATGAGATTTGTTGTATTTTGAATTCAATTTTTCTTTGTAAAAGGCAAAAAGTTGATCTTACTGATTTCAAAGTTAAGGATTTAGTAGTTTGAATACACATTGAACCAAAAACTCATCATAATTCAGTATACTTTATTTTTGACAAAACATCTGAAGTTTCGGTCGTGGCTGCACATTTTCGGTAGTGACAGTAATGCTTTGGTAGCGATCACATCACATTACAGAATTTTAACTTTCATACTAAAACACTACTAAAACATACTAAAATACTAAAGATTTTAGTACAGTTATGCAGTTTTTTTGTTTATTTCCCCCAAATATGAGGATTATGTGTTTCCTTTTGTTACTACCGAAACAATGATGACATGTTTTGGTCGTGACTGTTTCGGTAGTGACAATGTTATTGGATAACACCCAAAAAAAAAAAATGTAGATACTTTTGAACCTATCTCAAAGATGCTAATCAGCACATGGATAGCTAGCACAGTTTTGAACAGTTGTACACACATAAAAATTAAATTATATGGAATAACTCCCAAAAAAGTGTGCTTTATTGCAGAAAAAAGGTGTTCGGTGTTGACGTTCCTTAGTTACACAGATTTTTCAGACTTTTGAACACATTTACCTCAAAACGAAGGGGCCTATCTACTCACCCTGTAGCTATGAGAGAGAGAGACACAAATATCTCCTAATCATAAATGTAGGGGTGTAGTTAATTTCAGTCTCAGCCAATGAACTAAAACATAGACTGATTCGGTAGTGACATGAAAAATGCGGGACACATTTTTTTACATAAAGTTTCATAATTTACAAAGGAAATATCTTTTTTTTTTTTGAACTTCACTTTTTAAAAGAATCAAAAAGATATTTTTAAAAACAACAATTTAAAAAAATGCAAAAATTATTTCAATATCATTTTCATAAGTTGAAATTTAGGGGTTAGGGTTCGGGACAGCCACCTCCCAATTGAAAGTACCCAATAAATGATGATTTTATATATATTAAGCTTACTAATATTTTAAATATTATTGTGGGTTTCAATAGAGAATAGAGGGATCTTAGTAAACATCTAAGATTTTAATACTTAAATGCTTTTTAAATGTGTTTTTTGGTTGTGGGACAGCAGTTTGGCCCAATCCTGTAGAATGGCCCATACACACACACACACTGCTGTTCAGAAGTTTAGGTCCAGTAAGGTTTTTTTTTGTGTGTTTTTTAAAAAGAAGTCTCACCAAGGCTGCATTTACAAAATTGATCAAACTAGTAATATTGTGAAATCTTATTACAATTTCAAATAACTGTTTTCCATTTTTATATATTTAAAATATAAATGTTTATTCCGGTGATGGCAAAGCTGGATTTTTTCTCAGGATTCTTTGATGAATATAAGGTGCAAAAAAACTGCATTTATTTGAAATAGAGATCTTTTGTGACATTATAAATGTCTTTACTGTCACTTTTGATCAATTTAATACATCCTTGCTGCATAATATATGCATACGTATATGCACATACGCATAATACTTATGCATACATAAAGTATTAATTTAAAAACAACAACAAAAAAAAAAACTTTTGATGTGTGTATATGTAGTCATTTAGAAGATATAATGTGTGTGGCAGGTGAGCACGCGTGAAGAGGTGGAGGATCTGTGCCATCTGGAGAAGATGATTGATCTGATCATTCCCCGCGGCTCCTCTCAGCTAGTCAGAGATATTCAGCGTGCAGCTAAGAGCATCCCTGTTCTTGGCCACAGTGAGGGGATCTGCCATGTCTATGTGGACCATGAGGCCAGTGTTGACAAAGCCATCAAGATCAGTAAGACTGCCAGTGAAGATTTACGAGTGTAGATGTTGTTGTTTTTTTCACATAGGTGTACTTCACAGACAACAATTTGATATTGTAGATTTATTGTTTATAATGGTTTAAATTACACTGGTTTTGTTTTATCTCTTTAGTCCGAGACTCTAAATGCGACTACCCTGCAGCCTGTAATGCCATGGAAACCCTGCTGGTGCATCGAGATCTTCTCAGAACCCCATTGTTTGATCAGATCATTGACATGCTGAGAACAGAACATGTAAGACCACATATATATCCACAGTATGTCATTCATACTTAATTAGGCCTATACTCTGAGGACTGTAACCAGATCTGTCTTTGGTCTAGAAAAAAATAATATAGTGTTTCTATTGAAGCTTCTTTCTGCCTCAGGGTTAAACAAAACAAAAAATGCAAATACATACTATCGTTCAAAAGTTTGGGGTCGAAGATTATTAAAAATGTTTTTAAAAGAAGTCTCTTTCTCACCAAGGCTGTATCTATTTAAACAAGACAGTAATAATATTAAATTATTCTGATTCCTATTTAAATATGTTTTAAAATTGTAAATTAATTAAACTTGATCAAATTCCTGTGATGGCAAAGCTGAATTTTCAGTAGCCATTACTCCAGTCTTCAATGTCACATGATCCTTCAGAGCTTATTTTAATATACTTGTTTGATGCTCCAGAAAAAAATCTTGTTATTATAAATGTAAAAGCAGTTGAGCTGCTTAATATTTTTGTGGATACATAATGCATAAACCATGATACAATTTTATTTCAGGATTCTTAGATGAATAAAAAAGTTCAACAGCATTTACAGTGGGTATTGAAAAGAATCACCCCCCTTTAAAATAATCACATTTTGTTGCTTTGTAGCCTGAAATGAAGATGTACACAGTTTTTGGTTTATCCAGCTATATTTACTCAGTGCAACTTATAACATCCAAGTGAAAGATATAACACCAACATGAAGAAAGAAAAAAAAAAGCAGAATCATCTAGTTGGAAAAAGGATCACTCCTCTTGTGTCAGTATTTTGTTGAACCACCTTTTGCTTTAATTACAGCCTTTAGTCTGTTGGGATTTCTCTCTACTAACTTTGCACATGTAGGCTTTGCATTATTTGCCTACTCTTCTTTGCAGAACTGCTCAAGTTTAGTTCAATTTGATGGTGAGCGTTTGTGGACTGCAGTCTTCAAGTCATTCCACAGATTTTCAATGGGGTTTAAGTCTGGGCTCTGACTAGGCCATGCAAGGACATTCACCTTTTTCTCCTTAAACCACTGTGTGGTCAGTTTTGCTGTGTGCTTTGGGTCATTGTCATGTTGGAAGGTAAACCTTCTTCCCATTTCTGGCAGAGGGCAGCAGATTTTCAGCAAGAATTTTAGGGTATTTTGCCCCATCCACTTTTCCTTCTATCCTGACAATTGCTCCAGTCCCTGCTGCAGAGAAACACCCCCATAACAGGATATCACCACCTCCATGGTCCCTGCTGCAGAGAAACACCCCCAGAACAGGATATTAGCACCTCCATGCTTTACTGGTGGAATGCTGTTATTTGTATGGTGAGCTGTATTGGATTTCTGCCAGACATATTGTTTGGTGTTGAGGCCAAATAATTCAATTTTAGTCTCACCTGCCTCAGAATCTTAAGGTGCATTTTGGCAAAGCTCGGTCGTGACTGCATGTGGCCTTTCTTGAGGAGTGGCTTTTTTTCTTGCAACGCTCCCATACAAACCACATTTGTGGAGATATTGTGGTCACATGCACACAATCTGCACACTGCACACTGTCTTCATTTCAGGCTGCATTATTTTAAAGGGGGTGATTCTTTATTCCCACTGTATTTGAATTAGAATATTTTGTAAATAATTACATTTGTTTACTGTCACTTTTGATCAGTGCAATGTGTCCTTGCTTAATAAAAGTATTAATTTCCTTAAAAAAAAAAAAACTTGAGTAGTGTACATCTTAATTATATCTCACTGTTACTTTTCTTTTTTCTTCACCGTTCTTTTTCTTTTTTTGTGTGTGTGTCTTCCATATATTTCTGCATATTATAAAATGATAGTCTACGTTTATAACTGCACTTTCTTAAAATTGTTAAAATTATTTGACTTTTGTAGGTGAAGATCCATGCCGGCCCCAAGTTTGCATCGTACCTGACCTTCAGCCCGTCAGAGGTCAAGTCTCTGCGTACTGAGTACGGGGATCTGGAGTGCTGTATCGAGGTTGTGGACAGTATGCTGGAGGCTGTTGATCACATCCATAAATACGGCAGTTCCCACACTGATGTTATCGTCACTGAAAATGGTAAGACTAAACATACACCTGCCTATAGTGGTGGACAATCATGTATAAATCTAGACTCTTGGTGTTAAAATTAATTGCAAGCTGTGTAAACGTTAAACTTGATGAATTATGTTAGTGTTTTAATCTTAAAAATGACATGCATTAGCTTTCAATGCTCTATTGTGAACAAAAAAAGCAGTGCTGTAGTGCCATCTAGTGGGAACATTGATGATTCCAAACATTTTTTTTTATTGAATTTATTTAATTATCATTATCTTTCACATACTCTTTGTAGAGGACACAGCAGAGCAGTTCCTTCAGCAATTAGATAGTGCCTGTGTCTTTTGGAATGCCAGCTCACGGTTCGCTGACGGATATCGTTTTGGTCTCGGTAGGTGTCTTTTTCTTTTTTTCTCATCCACAAACTTATTTAAATGTTTCCATTTTAATCTCATAATGACCCTGTGGTGCTTTGTAGGTGCAGAGGTTGGCATCAGCACGGCTCGTATTCATGCCCGTGGGCCTGTGGGGTTAGAAGGGCTTCTCACTACCAAGTGGGTCTTACGGGGCGAGGGCCACACAGCTGCAGATTTCTCTGAGCAGGGCAGCATGACGTATCTGCACGAGAATCTTCCGGTGGCGCAGGTTCTTCCTGAACGCAGAACCACCAGCTAGAGTTGTGAAGTAAAAGCATCTACAGTCAAGAATCAAATACATCTTATTTAAGTAAAAGCTCACCCACTTAAAATCTATTTAAAGACTCCAATCAGGCAGTGTATTTGGAGTAAGTGCGAATACAAAGAAAATCATCTGTGGATGGAGAGCCGTTCAATGAACCCATACATTTAAATTTTCCCAGATACACCCATTTTAGTCAAGTGTGTCTTGTTCTCAGAAAGAACCAGACGAACGTATAGCTACAGAAACTCAGAAGGGTCATGCAAAGACGACAAGGGAATTTGCTTAAAGCTGTAATCCATCTGATTGTTTTTGTAATTTTTGTTATGATTTGTGCGTTGTATTATGTTCTTTTGAGTAGCAAAACGAATTATTGATCATGGAAAAAATAATAACAGCTTCATTCCAGTATGGAGTTAATGAAAAGAAGCCTCCCGAATTGCCCATGGTATATATTTATGTCATATTTAATGTGTGAAAATGCAGTAGGAATTTCGAAATGAAATTTCCTGACAAAAATTGGAGCATTAAAAATCATTGTGCCATTTTACAGCATATTGTGTACACGTAATTTCAGCTTTTATGGGAAAAATATATACATCACATTAAAAAAAAACTATTATTAACTAAAAAAATAATATTTTTCATGTGGCAGTACAAGTCATATACAGTACAAGATAAGAAAACTATTATCAACTGAAAAAGAAACTAGAATTTTAAAGCTGCTTTGTCTGTATAAGTTACTTTTATTGAAGAGGAAACGCAAGAAAAGCAATCTTCCTTGCATTTTTTTTTTATACTCATTGCTTTTTAATCATGAATAATATGCAGAACTGTTAGCATTTCCGTGTTACTGCTGTAAAACTCACCCGGGACGGCCAGCTTTTGTCCTGAACTGCTTCAAAAAGGCCTCGTTTTCCGTACTTTAAAGTGCTGTAACGCTCTACAAAATAGTGGTGCTTATAGTGTGAAAAGTGTTCTGAAGATGTTCACAATTTTTGTATGTAGAATAAATTTCTTTTTTGTACTTTCAAAATGCTTCTGGATACATTTGATGCCTCTGACAAAGACCTGAAAGTTTAATTTGTACCTGAAAGAGGTTTGGAGAAGGGTTTAGGGAGGAAACCGACAAGTATTGGGGCCATTTTGAACTTGATTAATAATCTTTCTTAAGTGCAGTTCAGTGTGGAAAACATCAAGAGGCTTTTCTGTAGGGAGAGAGAGACTTGCCAACACTAAGTGGGACATGGAAGAGTGAAAACAATACTACAGAGTATTAATTATGTTGCTATTAGGAAAGAAGAGACTGCGAGAAGACTGAGGCTTGCCATGAAAGTGCCAGTGCCTTTTGACTCAAGTTCTTTTTATTCTCCAAAATGTGCGGTTTACCCTCAATGAGCCTTCATCAGAAACTAAAAAGATCCAGAGATGAAGAGAAACTAAGTCTCATTCATCTGTTATTGTGTTCCAACTTTACTGCGTAAGATCCATGATCAATAACTTTTTGGATGAAAGAGGTTAAAAAATGCTCAAATGAGGACAATGTTACTGCCAAATCAGGAGACGGAAATACAGGTGCAGAAGTAAGAAAGTAGAATTATGACTAACATGCGAAACAAAGCTTACAGTGCTGATTTTCAAATATAAGATCGTGAGTGTTGACCCTAAAGCTGCACTTTTAGATCTATTTTGTCAGTACAGTTTTATTCTGTTCAAATTATGACTGCTAAATAATTGTTGATTTGTTACTACTGCACATCAACCTGCGCCCAATATTTCACACTTCTGAGAGTTTAAAGCATATGGATGTGAAATTTAAAAGAACCGGTCTCATGGCAAGCCATCGGACTTTCACAGTCAGTACAGCTTTAATTGAACATTACTTGAGGCGAAAACTAATTTCTTGTGCTTCCTTGGATATTTAGAGACTCAAATGTGCTCCCTGCAGAGCTGAATTTTTTCAAATCAATAATTAATCATCAGAGTTCTTTATTCATTTGTATCTTTGCCAAATATGGGCTTCTAATTAACTATTTCAATAATTGATATTTATCTTTGAAAGAGCTTGGTATCCATACCTTATGAAAAATGCATGAACTGAGATATGGACTTTTGTTTTGTTTTGTGTTCTGAGAGAGCCGCATGCTCGGGGCTAAGACCAGGCCACTTTGACTTTTCCTCTTTGAGTCTGTGTTGCCCTATGATGTGCTGCTACTATGGTGCCTCTTTCAAGGGCCCAAAGCATCTGCTAGACATCATGTGATCTTATAAAAGTCTTTTGCTCTTCCATCCTGAGATACCCCTTTTTTGTTCTTTAATAACTCAGTTCAAAGAACAAGCTGTTTCCTTATAATTTCCTTTTGTCTCTCAGGCACGAGATGATGTCGTGTACGCATGCAACAACATTTTGGCATGTTTCATTCATTCAAGATTTCTGCGGGTTTTAAAAAGGTCTTAAAAAGTCTTAGTTTGCCCTTTCACAAATTAAGGCCTTAAAAGGACTTAAATTCATAAAATCATGGCATTAAATGTTGCATGCACTGCAAAAAATGAATATCTTTGACAGTATTTTTTGTCTTGTTTTTCAAAACAAATATCTAAACATCCTGAAATCAAGGTACTTTTGCTTGAGATGCCAAATGAAGATATGAAATCTTGTTTTTGTTTTTTTATTGAACAAAATTAAGTAAGTTTATGCTTAAAACAAAAATCTGGAAATGGGGTTTGAAAACTTGTTTTCCCTTTGAATTAAGTTGTTTTTTTCTAAGGCCATTGGCAGATATTTTTCCCTTATTTAATCACAAATTCATTTAATTTTGATACAAGACAAAAATACTTTTATGCAGTGTGATCAGAAGGTAACGTAAAAGTTATTTCCATATTTTAGTTGAGCTATTTTTTGGTTTAAAAAATTGCAGTGCTGCTAACACAACTCATTGCCTCCTCCATATTGACGAGTTGTGTTCCCTTTAATTTTCTTTAATTGGTCTCAAAAAGGTCTTAAATTCACCTCCCTACACTTTTCAGAAACCCTATCATTGCACGGCATTCAGAGTGTACAAATGTCATTTGTTTGATTTTAATCAAATTTTCCTTTATTTCCAGTTGTAGTTGGGAAGGGAAAGGTGCTGATAAAATAGTTTGCTCAGTCAACAGTGCTAAAAGAGACAAATAGCCCTAATTAAGTGAGGCTAAGTGGCATTTGTGCCGGAATAAAGCAAGCATCACAAATACATTCAGCATGACAGATGCACAGGCCTGATCACCTCGAGGTGATTGAAGGTCAGACGTAGTCGCTGCATGGACAGGCAGTGCTGTTGACACATTGGGAGAGGTGGTTGTGTGATTTGGATCTTCAGTTGACGTCAGTCACACGTCGCAGGGAGCCCATGGTAGGACTTGGGCTGCCCCACTCGACGTATCTCCTGTATTCGCCGGGGCGCAGGAAGAACTGGCGGCCAGTGTAGTTGGGGTGCTCGTGGAGGGTCCAGTAGCCTTCCATGACATTGGCTGAAGAGATGTCTCCGTTGTGGAATCGCTGACGCAGGTCAGGGCAATCTTCATTCAGCTCCATTGCCTGACCACCAAAATCGGAGCGCTCAAAGATTTTCATCCTGTAGTTTCCAGTGTACTGGGGAAGAAATAATCAGTGTTGTATTAAAAAAAATCTCCAAAAATGTAAAGCATTGCTCTGATTGATCAGCCCCAACACTGGATCAGCCAATAGCATGAGTTTGGGGTGGGAGTACCTATTCGGTTGACCAATGGCAGACAAGGTGAGTGTTTAGGAAACCTGTTTGTTTTCATATCATATAAACAGAGTAAACATCCCAAACTTTAAAATCAAAAGAATAAAAAAAGAGAAAATGACAAAATACTCAAAGAACAGTCTTTTTTTCTTTTTTTTTTGATGAACTAGGTTCTCCCAACCTAACCTACATAATTAAACTCTTAACTTGCTGATGCAAAGGGAAAATATTTCCTATCACAATAGATTATTTTTAAATAATAATAATTTAAATAATTTAAAGACTCACAGGAGGAACCAAGCGACAGGAACGAATGCAGTCGTTGAATCCAGCCCAGCGCTGGAAATCAGAGTATTCACCCTTGGAAAGCATGTACTGGTATCCAGCATAGTTGGGCCTCTCGTAGGCCACCCAGCTTCCACTTTCTACTCGGATGGAGTTGCAGCGAGAAAAGTGGGCCTGCATGTCAGTGCAGTCTCCAATGCACTCATAGTGACGGCCCTGGAAGTTTTTGTCTTCAAAGAAAGTAATCTGTGGGATGGTTATAAAAGAAAAATACAGGATTACAGGTACATTTTTAGTTTGTAGTTTCACTTTTTCTTGAGTATTTTATCTGATTTTTATTTATTTACTTATTTTTGTAAGAAGTTACATGGAAAATCTGAAATGTTCTTTTTAATAGTAATTTTTGTCTTCTATATGACAACTTATCTTTTAATCCAGAGTTAACTGTTTTATAATTTTTCAAAAGTTTTTTTTTTATATATATATATATATATTATATATGTTTTGTTCGAATTTATTTTGAGGAGTTAAAAGCATGGTTTCGGGTAATAGGGATGAATATCCTAAAACCTTGATCTGTGAAATTTACAGACAGAATTTGGTCACTTACCTTGCCCATTGTGACTGTTCTCAAAGCGGACCAAACCATTTCTGAGGTCAGGATGTCTTTATAGACCCGGCATGGATCAGGGCTTTGTTTGTGACTCACAAAACTCTGTCTGGTCAGCACAATGTGTTCTATAGAGTGGATGCGACTGTAGATCTGCCTGTGCGTGCCCCCCTTTGTGTCTTTGCAACCTTTTTTTCTCTCTCTCCAAAGACAGCACCACTGCACTTTTCAGTGCTTGACAAAAAAGTTGCAAACTCTGCTTTTAGTTGCTTCAGGGCTTTACATGTAAATGCCATGAACTGGCAGGACACATAAATGAGGATAAAATGGTAATATGAAGCTGGGATATAAAGTGATTTAAACAAGATTTAATTGAATTTGTCCTCTCACATAAAAGTTCTGTTTTATCGTTTGGAATGAGACTAAAATTAATTATTCAACCACGTCAGATTTATAAAGTTGAGTTTTGAGCTTGAAACTGACATGCAGTCTTTTTTTTTTGTATGTGTACTGGGCAATGGATCAATGGATCCTTATTCGAAAAACAACTGGCAGGCTGAAGAAACTTTCTGTTTCCTACGCTACCAAATAATTCAAAGCATCATGAAGAAAAAGACAGCATGCAAGACCTGTTTTAATCAGTTTTAACGTCTTTAATGCTCATACAAAAAGACTCCGTTTACATTAAACTGCTCCTCATTCTCCTAAAGGAGCCAATCATGGGATTCATGCATCCCCATTCGCTGCAGGCTCTGTATTCTCCGGGCCGCAGGAAATACTGACGGCCTCTGTAATTTGGGTGCTCGTAAAAGGTCCAGTAGCCCTCCATACAGTTACAGGAGTAGATGCCGTGGTAGCCAAAATGGTCGCAGACATTGGGGCAGTCGTCTGTGAACTCCATCATGTGTCTGTACATTTCAGGTCTGTTGTAGATTTTCATGCGGTAGGCACCTCTGTACTGTTGTGTGAGGAGAAAACAGCAGTTAGGGCTTTAGAGGAATCAATAATCAGGGCAATGCAGAGACATTTGAGAGACCAGTTGTCAGAATGTTAAGGAGAAAACTCTGAAAATTCTTGAAGTCGCGTTGAGACTGAGCCTTTGAACGTGACTTCCTGCCGTAAACGTGCAACTTTCAAAGATTTTCAAGTAGACGTTTAGTCATTTTTGTTGAACAAACTCTAGTGACAGTGTCATGATTCTTCCACTGTCAAAAACAGAGATGAATGGAATTATGATGAGCTGCGCAGTCATTGGAGCGTGTCTTGCTCCATTTCAAATAACTAAATCTCCTGGTGGACCTGTGAACCTGTTTTTTTCCCCTGCATATATTAATTACTTCAAAGAGCTCGTTGATTAGGTGTCTAACTGTGTGAAATAAAACCCATCAGTTTGATTGACTTACTGGGGAGAACATCTGACAAGATCTGATACAACTGTTGAAGCCCATCCAGTGGTGAAAGTTAGGATACTCCCCACGGCCCAGGACGTACTGATACCCCATATAGTTGGGCTTCTCATAGCCCACCCAATGACCCCCCATGACCCTTATGGAGTTGCAGCAGTTGAAGTATCTGTAGGTGTCATGGCAGTCAGCAGAGCACTCATAAGAGCGCCCCTGGAAGTTGGAGCCTTCGTAGAAGATGATCTGACGACAGAAAGCCACAGAGGACAGTAAAGATGTTAGCAAAGAACAGAGGAATAATCTAAGTGGCGAAGGAATATGCCGATTTTGTCCATTCTTATGTGAAAGTTCTATAGAAAGCTGTTATGGCTAAACCTCCATGAAAGATTGTCTGAATATTTATACTGGAAGAAAAATTTGGACAGAGATGCTATTCTAAAGAATTGTAATGTCCCTTTGCAAAACTGTCCTATCTTCTATCTAGTTTGACTTTTCAGGTCTTCAGGTTGTTCCAAGTCAGTGTGAAGCTCACGTTCCTAATGTGGCAAATAACCACATACTGTCTTGTGAAAATAGCCATTCTAAACAGTAAGTATCACTCTAATTAGAAGGTACAACTGTCAGCGCTTACCTTTCCCATGGCTGCAGAGCAGGATGTCCACACCGTTCTGCCGTACTGCCATAGAGGTCCTGGTGGACCTTTTATACTCTTCTACAGATGTATACACACAGAAGCCAGAAGCACATCACAGAAACTAGAGTTTACCTTTGAAAACATCACAGACCTTTCCATTATTCATTTCTCTAAAGACAACTAAAGCCACACTCCCATTATTCCCGAATTCTAGAGTTTACCTATACAAATTCCCCTCACCTCACGAGCCTTAGCAGCACACCAAGCCTTGTTCACCCATGACCTGGTGATGTGCTTTTCACAACAGGCCACAAAAGGATCAGGAGGCATTATAACAGGCCTTTCTGTCTATGGCACAATGTGTAGTAAAAATGAAGCAAACTAATTTATGCACAAGTTTCATTTGATTTAATTCAAAGTTCCCTTTAAGTAACCCTAAAACAGTGGGGTTTCAAACTGGGGTCCATGGACGCCAGGCAGCTGGCAGGGGGATGCTAGGAGGTGCACAAAAGTTTCAGAAAAAAAAGATTATATGGCAGTCAAAATTAACATGGTAATTAATGAATTAATCAAGATGTTACTTAAATATAAGTTGTTTTAGTATAATATAAAGCCATTTTTTAATTTGTAAAAATAATTTATTTTATTTAGCCTAATTCAATTTAAAATTATTTCATGGTCCTTGGCATCAATAAATTGTAAAAAATTAGAAGAGTCACATTTTTAAATTGTAAAGATTCAACTTCAGACCTCATTGAAAATAACAGAAAAAAGAAACAGAAAAATTTAGGATA